AAAAAAATTAGGTATAATTATTTTTTTCTATTATCAAGTAATAATTATTATTTCGGGAGCCATATATATCCACTTTCAAAAAGAAAATTATATTATATTTTTAATATTGTGTAAATTTACTTAAATAGCTGTATATAAAATTAAATAAAAATATATCATTCTAAATTCATCAACTAATATTTATTTATTTTTTTTATTTTTTTGACCTTTCTATATTCTTTTAATTTAATTAAAACTCTAATAAACATAAAATGTCATATTCAACTGAAATCAAAACAAGAATAGAAGCGATACCATTAGAAAAAATACATTCAGATATAACAATAAATGAAGAAGAATTTGAAAAATGAAGGAGTACGTTTTAGTGTGGATTTAATGAATTTAGTATGTAAAGGATTCATACCGGCATAACAATAAATGAAGAAGAATTTGAAAAATGAAGGATTACATTTTATTGTGGATTTGATGAATTTAGTATGTGAAGGATTCTTGATTTTTATTTGGGTTATTTTATAATGTGTCTTTGAATTCAAGTAATATTAGTAACAAATTTCATCCTTTTTTTTTTATTTGGGTTATTTTTCATCACATCTAAAAATTTTCCTTATTTTTTAACCACGTATTTTTCATCACGTCACTATTTAAAATACATTATTCTCTCAATAATATGCATCAAACACTCACATATTAAATAATAAATATAGTGAAAATAAATGTTTTGTTATATTCACCCTTTTTGGGCAAATGTAGTATCTCATTTCCAATAGAAAATTGTTTGCCTAGTATTTGTCAACGAGAAATAGTATACTAAAAAATAATTGAATTCTGAGGGCACGACCTTGCCATGGTGTAGTTTTCATAAATATAATTATAAAGGAAGTTTTTTAAATCTGGACAGGAAAGGGATTTTAGCACGTTACCGCCCCGTTTCTTGCCTTTATTAATTGGTTAATCCACCTCTGCTGTCTTCCCTACAGGCTACAATCACTTTGTTAATGTGGGGAGAGGGAGAGAGAGAGAGAGAGAGAGACTCTTCTGTTATAGTATCTAGTTATATATGTGATTAGGGGTGGGCAAAACCCGATCGAACCCCTCCAAACCGTCCAAATCAAACCAACTCGATCGGATTGGATCGACTTTTTTGTTGTTTTTACATGGGTTGGGTGGGTTGGTTGTGTAAGCGGGTTGGGTCGGGTCGGGATGGGATATAGGTTAACTCAAGAAAATCGAATAAAACCGTCCAGTCCAAGCTGCCACTTTAAAAAAAAAAAAAAAATTAGTAGAATTGAGATGTAAATTTAGTAGAATAAGGACTATTTATAACTATTCAAAAAATTTGAGAGGATGGCTTCACTATTTATGATAATGGAGAATTATTTACTTAAGGTAGACTCTCAAACTAGTGGTGCACATTCGTTTGGTAGTATAGCTCAAGACAAACAAGATATTTGCCAATTTTTCTTGTTCACAATGCTTTTATATCTCAATTATTACTCCATGTTTCATTGTGGGTTTTTCCCCCTCTTCACATCATTAGTTCTAATTCTTACATATTGTCATTCCAAATCTAGCAGCGTATTTGTGGATTTGTGCTGCTTGACAAAGTTTTTGAAAAATAAATAGCTGTTTCTCATATGTTTTAGGTCCCACTTAAAAAGGTTTTCGAACAGAGAATCGTTATTTACTTCCTCTGTTTATATATACACACACAATTTTAAAAGGACAATTTTATTGTATTTTTTTAAAAAAATGGTGAAATGATGTTTTCCGCAATGAGACGTTGAAATAAGGATGAAAATGCAAAAAAATGAAACGTATGGACGTTTTTCACAAGAAATGTCAAACGTAAAACGTTTTGTTCTGAAAATGATGTTTTCCGCAACCTTGCCATGGTGTAGTTTTCAAAAATCGTAGCATAATGTTTACAGTGCATGAAAAAATGAATCTTGAATTTATCGCATCCACTAGTCATGAAGCAAAGTTGATCAAGGAACTATTAATTGTTCTCCTAAATCAAATCACCTATAGTCATGACCGTTTGCTCTAGGTTCTCAAGGCATGAGGCAATGTTTAATGGAGCCGACCCTCCGTCCCATTTATATAAGTTAGTTTTGTTTTTCACACGGATTAAGGAAATTTAATTAATTTTATTGAAAAAATATTTTTTACAAAAAAATTTCCTAATTTACCCTTATTTAATTATGAACAATTCATAGTAAATTTGTTATAACTAAACAAATTAAATAAGGATTATTAGTAAACGAACAAAATAAAAAGTTCTCAATACATAATTATAAATAAATTACAAAGAATAAAAACATTGAACATGAAAAAACTTGCCATGAGATTTTCTCCTCAAGCCGGACTTTCCTATACTATTACGGCTGAACATACCAATTGATCAGTTGTAATCAATTAAAAAATATTTTCCTTTTTAAGAAAGAAGAAGAACAAATAATAAATTTCCCTTTTAATCAATTTTTTTTTTTCCTTTTAACGGAATGTTACGCATTCTTTCAAAATATTATGTTTAATTTTAATAAAATAATAGAGTCCATGTAACGGAGGATGATGGTGATTATAAGATTTATGGTTCATGGAATCTCATCTTATAATATTTGGTCTGTAGGATTAATTATTGAATTGTGAGAAGGTTGGTTTTATATGTAATGAGGTTTTAAATACCGATTTATGTGATAATATTAGACGATAAGGGTGTGTTTGAGCCACATTATTTTGGAAGAATGTATTTCGGAATAGTAGATTGATGGAGAATATGTGATTGAAAAAGAAAGAAAAATTATTAATGTGATGGAAAATATTATTTTATTGAATAATGTGTGGTTGAAAATAAGTAAAAAATGAGAATGAAAATTTTAATGTGTACTAAACATTGGCTAAATTATAGATTCATTTAAATACAAAATCACATGTTTCATCTAATTGAATCTATAAAATGTAGGTATCTAAATTGGTGCTAGTAACACTATTCTTTTACATTTTGTACAGGTCAAATCTACATCTATGATTTAGATGATATCGTGTTAAATCCATCCATGGCCACTATACTTTATTTGTGGTGTCATCATTGTCACTCAAATGGATTTTAATTCACCATGGTTATAGTACTTTATATTTAGTGTCATCATGACATTCAAATTGCTTTTAATTCACCACGATCACCCAATTTCATTTAACGTTTCAGTCAAGCCACTTGATTATTGCTGAACAAAAAAACACACTAAAAAATTCACACATAATTAT